CTGCACAGTTTTCGTCCCAGCTGCCTCCGGAACTCTTGAATCTCTATGTCACCGCAGCTGTGGACTCGCTCAAGTCGCCCAATTTCTGTGTGCGAGTCTCGGGCCTCCGAGCCCTTCGTCAGTATGTGGCCGGTGCCGCAGATAGAGAGCCTCACGACCTGTGGTCAATGTTACCTCAAGCATATCGACTCGTAGATGGCCAACGATACAGGCGTCGCTAACTCATCTGCTCTATTGCATGCCGGCTGTGTCTTCCAGATTCTGCGACGAGTGCAGCCGCGAGCTTCTCTATCCCCATGTGTCTGTCATCATCGAGCAGACTATCCCCATGGCTCAGGGTGGAAGCGAGTACACGGTGTGCCTTGTCCTTGATACCCTCACGGTTGCAGTCAAGGTGGGTTTTCGTGCTGTCCAGTGCTGTCCAATACTGTCCAATCCGTATTTCGCTGGCGATTCGGCATCGGATAAGACACCACTCTTGACCCATTCCTACCCTTCCAATCGGACAAATATTTGACCAGATCAACGAGGCCGTGACGGCAGAAAAGGGCGTAGCCATCTGCAACCTGATCTCGTCTGTCTGGACGCTCCATACCAATGGTGAGTGGAAAGAGTGCAATGCTGTCGCCAACTGCCTTGCTCACAACAGCAGCTACATATGGTCATACGTCAGTCACTTCGACAAGACTGCTGACAGCCAAGTGACGAATGCTTCCAGATCCCATGATGACCACGACGGTGCAGGATCTGTTCGAGTGCCTTGCGTCCAACAAACTGCTCCACCCACAGCTTGAAAAGACTCTCCTGCCTGTGCTTCACACAGCTTTGCTCAGCAGCGAGCTAGAGTCCGGTGTGGTTGCGGTATGTCTATGCTAGTTCGGCCATCTCTCCGGCGATCCTGCGCGCACAAAAGTGACAGATTATAGATTCTCGGATTGTGTGTCTGACTGATATGCGCTGATTATCCAGGCCGCTCTGGAAATGGTCGAGATTCTGCTCAAGCAGGCCCCCGTGCCCATTGCCCCTGCTTATGTTCAGCAAGTGTTCCCTCACGTCATGCATCTGCTGCTCGTGACCGAGGACCACACCATTATGCAGGTGCGTCGGTCGTATCGACTCATACCCGAGCAACCAAATACCCAACCGCAGCTCGGTGGTCGGATGCACATACTAACCATGATCGTGATCTCCGCTCACCGTCGTTCGGTTGCTGCCAAGCCAGGTTGGGCAAGAGCTCCTCAAGGTTCTCGTTAGCAAAGACACACACGGTGTCGCTCATTGGTCAGATGGCACCAAGTCGGGCCTCGATTATATCATGCAATTTATTGCGAAGCTGTTGCACCCCACACAGGCCGAGACGGCCGCGGTGTTTGTTGGTGACCTCATCAGCAAGCTGATCCTCAAGGTGAGCTGGCGGACCAGCATCCAACCCGCGACTGTCCGCAGCTATCGCGGTTTGTGGACCAAGAAAGTCTCTGCCGGCGAGTTTGCCTGACTGATCCCCTCCCTCATCCATTGCCTCAGGCTGGAGCCGAGCTCGCATCTGTGTTGCCTGAGCTGTTGAAGGCAGTTGCCCAGCGTCTCGCGACGGCTCAGACGCCAACATTCATCCAGGTGAGTTCTTATTCCCTTCGTGACCAGTGGTCGCTGTCCCCATCGTCCAACTGGTCTGACATAGGCTGCTCCGCAGTCCCTTGTGATCGTGTTTGCCCATTTGATCCAGTCCCAGCTGGAGAAAGTGGTCGAATTCCTGGACGGACTGCTTGTTGGTGGCCAAAAGGGTCTTGCGATCCTTCTGAAGACTTGGTGTGAGCACTATGACTCCTTCCAGGGATCGTATGCACTCAAAGTCAGGTGAGCTACAAGCGCTAGATTGATAGAATATCGTCGAAGCGGCGCGTCGTAACACTGAAAGCATCGCCCATCGGGCGGGACTTCTCTTGAAGCACCGCACATAGTCCCTGCATCGTGCTGACCCTCGTATCGTTTCTTTCCTTGCTGTTGTAGCGCCACGAGTTTGACCAAGCTCTTTGAGTCGAGCGACCCTCGTATCCAGAGCATCGCGGTGCGTGGCGACCTCGTTGCCACCACCTCAGGTACTGTGGCTGTGTGCAGAAGTAATCTTGACAGTACCCGTCTCTGTCGGACACCGCTATTGTCCGTCGCATGTGGCCTCACATCTGTTCCCCGGACGGCCTGTTCTCCATGTGACGCTCAGGCATCAAGACAAGATCTCAGGCAAAGAAAGGTGCGAATCTGCTTCTTGGTATACGAGCACAGCAAATCAGAGCCTCCGTGGCGCTGGGTTATAACCGGCTACCCCTTCGGAACTTTGTTCTGTAGCTCCGGAGGTCTACACCTCAGTTCCTTTCCCAGCCAAGGTCATCAAGCTTATGCTGCACGATCTGATCAACATGCGAGACATCAACGCTCAGGACGACAAAGTCGCTTCGGCTTTCTTGAACGGAGACGGGTTTACGGTGAGTCCTGTGGGTAGCGCTGCGGTGCGTGAGTCGAAGGCTTGATCACAAGATTCAACTACCTTTATCTGGCCGAGTGATGGGGCTAACGGGCAGCACTGTTGTACTCGATGCAGGATGACGAAGACGACGACGACGAATATGGCGACTCCTCTTTGGGCAGCATCGAGAAGCGCTGCCATCTTGTCGGTAATGTGAACAGCCATCATGTCCGGGCAGCAGTATTTGGGTGCCATCGAATAGGGCGTTGAGGGGCGTGAACCCATTGTGAGCGGGAACCCTACCTTGGAAACAGTGGGTCCTGTGGGTGTGTCGATGGTAGCAAGTTTATTGCTGGTGCTAAGGAGCCTATCGCAACCCAGATCTCGCTATGGATGACAGTGCCATTGAGGATGAAGCCGACGACGACATTGCCAAAGATCCGGTCTTTCTTGTGAACTTGGAGGTAACCGAGACTTACATCGGCAGGCTCTTGGGGGACACAGAGTATGTGCTGACTTGTTTCTTGGATGCCAGGATCACATTCTTCGATTCTTCAAGAGTGCCTACCAGCAGAACACGAACAACTTCCGATGGCTGTGCGAGCAATACTTGAGCGAAGCTGAGAAGCAGCAACTCACGGCTCTGATCCAGTGAGGCTGCTTAGTGGCATGCATTGGCTCGGCTTGTGTTATCGCTCCTGGGACTTGCGAATAGCCAGCGACCCGAGCCACCGTCCACACACCAATGGGCGTAATACATCCCGCCAGCTTTCAGACACCTTGTTGCGTCTTGACTCCCTGCTTCATGAGAGGAGCTGCAGAGGCCGTTTGTGCCGTGTCCAGCCGCTCGTCGATGAGTGGACTTGGTCGTATCTCTCGATCAATGCGTGCGGTCGGACTTGGCTGTCGATTAGGATCGATGAGTGTAATAACCAGCAATAGTTCCGCTGCAGAGCAAAGTTGTTTGGCATTGCATTCGTGTAAAAAGACATGGCAGTCAGTAAGGCTATCGATTCGAGACACGACAATCGCTCCTCCGGCTGGGCTGTCCATAATGTTGCGCGCCCGACATGCCAGGGGCCGGAATTGCCGATGCAAAAGCAGTCTGGTGTGTTCATGGCGTCGAATACTCACAAAACGACTGCAAGACCCCGAACATGTAAAATAGCCTCATGCCCATAATCAGCTCGATCAGTCCAATAGTGTACACAAAGGTGCCGAGCAGGGTAGAGCAGAGAATGATCCGGCACTGGCTCCGGAACAGTTTTGCTTTCATTGCCGATGGAGGCGGCTGAGGAGATGGCTGGAGTTGGAGCAGGAGCTGAGACGGCCGCGGAGAAGCCGAAGTTGCCAGCGTCGCTGGTAAATCGGGCAACGGGCCCGATACCGATCCGCGAGCCCGAGCCACCGAGAGCCGAAAGGCAGACAGTAATCCTGGTGTTGAGGAAGGGGCTTCATCGGGTGGTGAAGACGGCCGTGCCTGCAGGTTGTTGAGGATCCGCACGAGCTGGATGCTGACGGCGAGTTGGACGATGATCCAAAAGACATCCAAGACTGCAATTGCGATGCTCGTGTTGATATTTGGCAAGACCCAGGCACATGTGTCTAACGCCGAGAGACCGAGTCAGCACTCGCCCGTCATAGAACAAAGCGCCAGCATGGGCGAGTGATCGACTGCGTACCAAAGAGACGGTAGTAAGTCCAAATGAAGACTTGGTAGATGCCCAGAGACAGCCCCATCATTATCCAGGTTGCTTTCCGGGCTATGCTGCTTTGAAGACGCGAGAGTTGGATCGTCCTGAAGACAAGAAAGCCACACTGGAACGCCGTCTGGTGGGAAAGAGGTCATGGGCGGATTGCTGGTGAGAATGGGCCCGGGATTCCGGCCAAAGCTGGCTGCCAGAACCACACTTGCCTTGAGGGAGAACACCATATCGGAGAACCAGTGCAGCCACGCTACTTGACACGGCGTTGCCGTAGCCCACATCGGGGTTATCCACAGAACGAACAGGCCCAGACACCCGCTGTAGATCATATATGCGAGGAGATTCTCAAGTAGCCTTGTCGAGATATGGCCTCGCTCCAAAATCATCAGAATCAGCAAGGAGCAGAAGCATGGGAATCCGCCATAGTCTTCGGTCTGTTCCAGGACACTGGTCGCCGCAGAGAGATTTGGATCCATGTGGATCGTGTTGGGCAACGACGGAAGAGGGAGAGGGAGAGGGAGAGAAAGGAACAGAATCTGTCTCGGCCAGATTCAAGAAACGATTCAGAGGCTCGACGATAGGATGCGTGCAACTCTCGAGGAAAGTATTTGCATATGGTCGAAATCAACCTATCGATGGCTCCCGCCTCGTCAGATCCAGATCAATCAGTTTTGGATCGGGACCACACCACCGCTTGGCCGACCAGCCGACATCTGCGTACATATGTAGCCAGCGGCAGCCAGGATCGACCAAGCGCCGATCACAATCTCGCAGACAATAATACCATATGTGTCTCGCTGCTCTGCGCTGGACGGGCTCCCATCCTCGCTTAGGGATGTATGTGTTGAATGTATTGGGTGAATTGAATGTATTGGATGTATTGAATGTATTGGATGTCAATACGACACAACTCATTCACCACCGCTTCAACGGAACCGCCTTGCGAGTCAATTGTGTGGCACCGTGGTGTGTGGAGTGAGTGCTCGCGGTACAGTTTGCTTGACCGTTCTGTTTGCAGGGTCATGATTGCGACATGGGTGCTTGGATATGGGACATGGGAGTGCCTCGGAATTCAGGTTCATTTGCCGAGTTCCTTGAGGTTACGAATGGCATATTCATGACCTTGGTCCGCGGACTTGCGATACCAGTAAATGGCGGTACCAATGTCCTTGGGAACGCCTTCACCACTTTCGTAGCAGTCGCCGAGATCATACTGTCCATATCGATTGCCCTGCTCAGCCGACTTGCGGAGCCACTCGATTGCCTTGGCGTTGTTCCGAGGAGCCCCAATTGCGTTCCAGTAGTAGCGACCAACCTTCCACTGGCCGTAAGAGTTGCCTTGGTCGGCTGACTTGTAGTACCACTCGAATGCCTTCTTGTAGTCACTCGATACCTTTCCGCTACGGTAAAGGTACTCGCCAACCCAGTACTGACTATCACTGTGGCCGTCGGTGGCGAGTTGCTCAAAGATGCCCGCTGCCTTCTTCTCGTCTTTTGCGGTACCGAATCCAAGAGATAAACAGACACCCATAAGATGCTTACACAGCCAATCGCGGTCCGATCCCAGCTGGCACAGCGAGAAGAACTTGCAGGACGCGGGCGAGTCAGATGAGGCCGTATTCCACCTTGCCAGACACTCGGCCTCTCCAAACTTGAACCCATCCGATTCATTATCTCGGATGATCTTGATGCCCTTCTGCTGATCTTGTTGTGTGCCCCGGCCGAAGTAGTACATCCACCCGACCATGTGCGTGGCAATGGGCTTGAGAACGGGATCGGTGGACCTGCTACTGACTTCCTCCCAGAACCAGAAGGCATAGTGATCGCTCTGAGGAATTTCCTGGCCGATCAGCGCAAACCAAGCCATCTGGAAGGATGCCTCGAGGTTACCGCGGTCGGCGGCGGCCCCGAAGAGCTGGGCGGCGAGCTTCCAGTCGCTGTGGTGAGCTGGGAGGCCCTCCGAGACCAACTTGGCCGCTTCGAGACAGGCAGCGGGATCACCTTGCTTTGCGCGCGAGACAAGTTGATCAGGCAGGCGGTGGATGGCATTGTTGATACCTTCGAACGTGAGCTCGGCATGGCTGCTAGGTTGGGATGGGGAGTAATTATCCACACTGAGAGTGGTGAAATTGCTTGAAACCTGACTGATAGCTGGGGCCTTGGCAGTGGCGGGAGCGGAAACGGCAGGGGCAGCGGCTCGGTTGTATGGCTGGAGAGCGGCAAGGATGTCAGGGAAGGCAGGGCGATCTGCGGGATCTTGGGCCCAGCAGCGCTCGATAAGGGCCCAGACATCGTCGGGAATGCCATTGAATCGCTTGGGACGCTTGTGCTGGATGAGCTGCGACAGGATCTGGAATGGCTTCATTGCCTGGCCGTTTGCAGTGACCCAGACTGTGATGACCAGCATCACAACGGACCAATGAGATTGTCCCGCATGCTCTCGCCCTCCGCACCAATCATGAGTCCCCACGTGTTTGTTTGCCCCCATGCATGAGCACGCGCCGTTGCCACCCGCGTCTACTGGTTTCCTGCCTCCCCCACCGCTCGGCACATGTCCCCGGGCTGTGCCAAGCCTCTCTCGCTTGCACACCAGCCACTCTCGCACCCCCTTCTCGCTTCTCTGTGATGCTCCACCCTTCTCGCCCACTTTTGCCCCTCGACCTTCTCCCGGTCTATAAATAGCCCTGCATGTCTGAGCCTATGTTGAACACCAGTTCGAACAAAACTTGTTCTTTGGTGTTCGGGGCTAAAAGCTAATAAAGCTCATACCAAGCACTTGGTCTTCGTCCTTGCGCTTGTTCACTCCTTACACTTTGTTCGAACTCTCTTCTACTGATACCACCTGCTTGGTATCTTCCGCTCCTAGCCCCGCCCCTTTCCTAGTCCTGTCCGAACCTCAAGCACACTTGTGTCTGAGCCCTCTTCGCTCTCCTGTTCTTGAACCTCCTCGCTTTTTTTTTTTTTTTTTTTTTTTCCCAGTCCCAGTCCCAGTCCCGCCATGGATCCTGCCCTCGTGGACCGCCTCCGTGCCTTGGAGGCCGAGCTCGCCGAGCTCCGGACAGCTCGCGATGCTCCTGCCGCTGGGTACAGCGTGCAGATGCCGGACCGTTACGACGGTAACCGGCAAGGGTTCCGGGCATTCGTAAATCAGTGCAAACTGTATATACGAATGCAGCCCCACCGGTTCCCTGCTGACCCGATTAAGGTCGGATTCGTCATTAGTCTGCTCACTGGACCGGCTCTCCAGTGGGCGACTCCGATGCTTGAGATGGGTGATCCCCGACTCAACTCTTTTGGCGATTTCCTAGAACGCTTTTCCAAAGTGTTTGACGACCCTGATCGGGCCAGGACTGCCGAGTCAGTGATCACCACACTGTCTCAGGGCAACCGCCCGTGCGCAGTCTATGCATCCGAGTTCCTTCGTATTGCCGCCGATACGACTTGGAACGACGGTGCAAAGATGTGATGACCAGCATCACAACGGACCAATGAGATTGTCCCGCATGCTCTCGCCCTCCGCACCAATCATGAGTCCCCACGTGTTTGTTTGCCCCCATGCATGAGCACGCGCCGTTGCCACCCGCGTCTACTGGTTTCCTGCCTCCCCCACCGCTCGGCACATGTCCCCGGGCTGTGCCAAGCCTCTCTCGCTTGCACACCAGCCACTCTCGCACCCCCTTCTCGCTTCTCTGTGATGCTCCACCCTTCTCGCCCACTTTTGCCCCTCGACCTTCTCCCGGTCTATAAATAGCCCTGCATGTCTGAGCCTATGTTGAACACCAGTTCGAACAAAACTTGTTCTTTGGTGTTCGGGGCTAAAAGCTAATAAAGCTCATACCAAGCACTTGGTCTTCGTCCTTGCGCTTGTTCACTCCTTACACTTTGTTCGAACTCTCTTCTACTGATACCACCTGCTTGGTATCTTCCGCTCCTAGCCCCGCCCCTTTCCTAGTCCTGTCCGAACCTCAAGCACACTTGTGTCTGAGCCCTCTTCGCTCTCCTGTTCTTGAACCTCCTCGCTTTTTTTTTTTTTCCCAGTCCCAGTCCCAGTCCCGCCATGGATCCTGCCCTCGTGGACCGCCTCCGTGCCTTGGAGGCCGAGCTCGCCGAGCTCCGGACAGCTCGCGATGCTCCTGCCGCTGGGTACAGCGTGCAGATGCCGGACCGTTACGACGGTAACCGGCAAGGGTTCCGGGCATTCGTAAATCAGTGCAAACTGTATATACGAATGCAGCCCCACCGGTTCCCTGCTGACCCGATTAAGGTCGGATTCGTCATTAGTCTGCTCACTGGACCGGCTCTCCAGTGGGCGACTCCGATGCTTGAGATGGGTGATCCCCGACTCAACTCTTTTGGCGATTTCCTAGAACGCTTTTCCAAAGTGTTTGACGACCCTGATCGGGCCAGGACTGCCGAGTCAGTGATCACCACACTGTCTCAGGGCAACCGCCCGTGCGCAGTCTATGCATCCGAGTTCCTTCGTATTGCCGCCGATACGACTTGGAACGACGGTGCAAAGATCTCGTTCTTCCGACTTGGCTTGTCGGATGATGTCAGAGACGAACTTTCGCGAGTTCGCCCTCTGCCACGAGATCTGGAGGAGTACATCGAGCTTTGTAACGAGCTCGATGCACGAATCCGCGAGCGCCGTCAAGAGCGCCGAAGCACGCCTGCCCGCTACCGGTCTTCCCAGTTCGCCTTTGGTTCCGCCTCCGCTGCCGTTCCCGCCATCGCTCCCGCGCCCGTCCTCGCTCCGCCGCACCCCTCCTACATTGTTTCTGTTAGAGTCCGGAGGGGACTCAACGGCAAAAGAAGAAGTGAGCTCGAAGTGAGCTCAGGGAAGGCAAGGGTAAAGTCCGAAGTGGACTCGGAGAGGGAGCGAGGGAAGCAAAGATCCGTTCAAGATAAGACTTGTCTCGAAATGAGACGTGAGGAACACTCAGAGAATAAAGTAGAAGGCACTTTATTTAGTCCTATTTTGAACGCTGAGGTTCGACTACACATCGCGGGGGTCAGGCTATTTATAGACAAGTCCGGACTTGGCAGCGAAGGGCGGCCAAGGGAGGGAAAAGTGGGCGATCGAGCAGGGCGAAGGGGGCGATGCACGAACGAGGGCCGAGAAGGACCACCGAGACAGGCAGAGAACCAAAGCGAGGGAGGCGCAAGCAAAAGCGAAGCACCTGGCAGGAGAAACGTGCAAAGGCGAAGCAATGTGACTCAACGTCCAAGAAGCGGATTGGTCAAGTATAAGGTTGGGGCAAATGCATGCGAGATGAACAAGAGATCGGGGCGGTCAGGCAGGTCATGAGTCACCGGTGGTGGGACACATGACCGGCAGCCGAATTGCAACCAATCGCAGCAAGGCGCGTGCACAAACAAACCGGCGCGTGCGAAGAAGACAAAGGAAGCGGAGCAGCGCGGGGAAACGGAAGTGCGGAAGGAGCGGAAATGGCAGGCAAAAGGCGGAAAATTGGAGGGGAACTGCAAAGCTACACACAAACAAACAGAAAGGCAAAAGAACAGCCAAGTGTGCAGTCAAAGTGGAGAACAAGCAGAAGCTATCCCTAACATCATCCCCTTCCTTAGCGACGAACTCCGGGCGTCGCCTTCGGCTTTGAGGGATAGCGAAGGTGGAAGTCAGCAACAAGATCAGTGGCGTGGGAAACATTGGCAGCGGGCTCCCAAGACCGGTCAGTCTCGGAATAGCCCTTCCACTGAACCAAGTACTGTAAGCGACCACGGAAGAGCCGAGAATCGAGAACAGTCTCGACCTCAAACTCTTCCTGGGAGTCAACAAGAATGGGTGGAGGTTCGGGTTGGGTGAACTCGGGAACAATGTCCTTCGTTCGGGGTTCAAGGAGGGATACATGAAAGACGGGGTGGACTTTGAGTGTGGAAGGGAGTTTAAGTTCAAAGGCAACGGGGTTGATGCGGCGAAGAACTTTAAAGGGGCCAAGCTTTTTCTGATCAAGCTTGTTGGAGGGACGAAGGGTGCGGATGTGGCGACGATCAAGAAAAACGAGGTCGCCAACGGAGATGTCGGGAGTGGGGAGACGGGATTTGTTGGCCTGCAAAGTGTAGGACTCTTGGGCAACCCGGAGGTTGGCCTTGAGATCCTCGAGAACGGTCTGAAGTCGGTCGACACGTTCTTCGGCAGAGGGCACAACAGAAGGATCACGGATGATGGAGGGATCAAAAATGGGGTGATGGCCATGGACTGCAAAGAAGGGAGTCATGCCAGTGGAGGTGTTTTCCGAGTTGTTGTAAGTGAACTCGGCAAGGGGAAGGTGAAGGGTCCAGTCGTCTTGCAGGTAATTGCAATGGATACGCAAATACTGCTCGATGACCTGGTTGAGAACCTCGGTCGAACCGTCGGTCTCGGGGTGGAAGGCAGAAGAAAGGGAAATCTTCGTCTTCAGAAGCTCATTGAAGCGCCTCCAGAAGGCCGAAGTAAACTGAGTTCCTCGGTCCGAAACAATAGACCGGGGACAACCATGCAAGCGGAAGATGTGGGAGAGGAAGAGTTCGGCGGTTTGCTCGCCTGTAACCGTCTTCGTGGTGGGCACAAAGTGTGCTTGTTTGGACAGGCGGTCCTTAACCACGAAGATGGAGTCAAAGCCGTTCGAAGGTGGGAGATCCGTGATGAAGTCCATCGACAGGTCCCACCAACGTTCGGAAGGAACGGGGAGAGGGTGAAGTAAACCATAAGGGGAGTGACGGGACGGCTTGGCTCGCTGGCACGCTTCACAATTAGCAATGAAGCGACGCACAGACTTACGAAGCCGGGGCCAGTGAAAGTCCCGGGAGATGAGCTCAACGGTCTTGGCAAGACCAAAGTGACCAGCGGCAGCGGAGCAGTGACGTTGCTCAAACACTTTGAGCTGGAGCTCGGGGGAAGGGACAACGATCAGGTCTTTAAAGTAAAGGAGACCGTCACGGAAGGAGTAATCGCCATCAAGACGTTTGGCGTTGAAGTCAGAAAGAAGGGAACAAGAAAGGGTGGCAGCTCGAATCTCGGAAAGAAAATCGGGGTTCGAGCCGATAACGGT